AAGACCATTCTATAATATTCCTGGACAACAGAATAATTTTGAATGGACAACACAACTTCAAACACGATTTTAAGAAATGAAAACTCTTCTCACTGAACAAGTTTTAAACACAATCCCAGATCCCAATCAACCATTTAATGCTATGTGCGACGTCTCTAACTTTGGCATCGGTGCAGAATTATTACAATCTCATAATGGAACAAATAAAAAGAACCTCATGTCAGCAAGTTCAAGACTATTTACAAAAGCTGAACTGAGACTCTCTACTCTTCTGAGAGAATGCACAGCCATAATAGATGCTCTCACAGAATATGAATTTTTAATACTTGGATCAAAACATCCAACAGTTCTATTTACAGATCATAAACCCATAACTTTCCTTTTCACACAGAAATCAAACCCAAGACATAGAGTTTGTAGATTTCAATTATTTTTATTGAAATTCCCAAACTTACAAATAGAAAATCCTTGCACTACCCGATACTTTTATTAGAAATACACCAATTGTAATCTTAACAAGGAAGAAGAAAAGTAGAAATACCACAAATTTTAAGTTTTTACTTCCAAAATATGAAACTTTACCATGATCACAATGCAAACATGCAGTAACAACTGACAATGATCAATCACGAATAAACAACTCACAACACTTTCCACTATACTTAGATTGTCAAAATAATCACTACGAAGTAGATCTACTAGAAAAATCTACCTTTAAACCAATACCATATTCATCATGGATTAAAAACAATACACAACAAAAACCAATCAGACAACATTTGTACAAGACAGACCTCTTCCCTTTAATAGAAAACGAGAACCTAACTGATAGTATAAATTCATCAAGCCCACCAAAAAATGACTCAAACTGCATAATAAACTAAGTCTTTAACCTCCATGATTCTCTAGATACCATACCTCTATCAAAAATAGAGATTGAAAACTTTATTCTACCGAACAAAGAAAACATAACACTAGAAATACTTAAGAAACATCAAAACCTTGACCCAGTTATTAGACAATTGAAATCTTGGCCAAAATATAAAACCAAACCAATTGAAGCCGATATCACAATTCTAGGAAATAAAAGCCTTCTTGGATATTGAGAAAATTTATTAACACTTCTACAAACGAGCATACAGAAGTTTTAGAATACAACAAAACTGATCTGACAGTACCTTGCCTACCTTTAAGTATGATGTTTCTAGCTTTTCATACTTCACATTCATTACACATTAAAGGACCCTCATGATCAGAAAAAACACACTCAAATTTTATCCAAGACTTTTATTTCCCAAACGCACTAATTTGGTTTAAAGTGTTATGCAATGGTTGAATTACATGCCAAATAAATGAACCATACACAAATCAAAAACAAATTGCAGAAAAACAGGATTTTGAAGGACAAGTTAATATTTTAACCACATAATTCCGTTCGATACAAAAGGACCATTTTCACCATCCTCAGAAGGAAACTCATATATAATGGACAAAATAATCACACTATGCCAATTATATAACATTAAACACAAACCACTTACATCTCAAGCACCTTGGACTAATGGACTAGTCGAAGGCATGAATCGTTCATTGCAAGAATACCTCAGATTTATCACAACGGAAATGATACACGTTATACTGAATGGTCAATAGATGTAAAACTTTTTCCCTCATCTTATAATTCACAAACAACTTTAGGAGTATCACCCTATGAGATGGTTTTCAATCAAAAACTACCAAAACCATTAATGTTCACAGCAAATTCTTCAACAAACACACAAGGTTATCGTCAACCAACAAAAAGATCAATATGTTTTGATTTACTAATACATACCCACGATGAAGATTTCGTTATCCACAAACTTTAAACCATCCAGAAATCATCCTGAATGGATTTTAAACCGAGCTAAAAAAACAATGGAAATTATCAAAGACAAAATATTACAAAGACAAAATATTAATTCCCAAATAAATTCTCGATTCAAACACGCTACAAACCTAAAAATTGGCACATACGATTTGATCCCAAATTTTACAACACAAAATTGAATTTCTAAAAAGTTTCAACCACTCCGAAAGGACCATATCAGTAATTGATAAACCCACTGATGTAACATTCAAACGTATAGAATCAAACAAAAAAACGGTTTAACACCGAAACAATATTTTACCTCACTATCCGAAAGAGTACGCTCTGCGCAAGATGACTCAATTAAACTCCTTTCCAGTACTTAAAGTTGTTCATGATAATTCCGATTACAATCAAAATCAGAACGCTAATGCGAACTATATTCAAAAACCAAGAACAAAAAAACGATAAAGAACTTACCCAACAAACTAATCAAAATTTAGATAAGAAAAAGATACCTCAAAAAGAAAGAAAAAATCGAAAATTGGAAGGAAAAATTCTACCACAAGATCAAAAAGAAAAATCTCAACATACACAAATATCGCGGCTTTGAAATCAGCCACGAAAAGACTATAAAACATTCATTCCACAATCTGAAATATTAAAGAAAGTTGAATTTCAGAAACCATTTCAAAATTAATTAACATTTTCACCGATCAAAGATCTTTGGAAAAAAAATAGGAAGTTCCTTTTTAGCCCTCCGAACTTCCCTTCACCGAAAATTGCTGAAATCCAAGCCACTTGTCAAAAAACCAATAAACAACCCGACCACACTCGAATTTAGCCTAAAAACAAAAACACTTCGCCGGAACGAACCCTTTCTTCAATGCTTTTTCTCAAATAGTCAACCATATTCAAAATGTTCTTTCAAACTTATTCTCAATAACTTTAATTTTTTTCAAACTTTGTAGAATCCTCATAGCTGACTACCTTGAAATCCTCGTCCTCCTCCTAATAATTTTTTGCAATTTTTTCATAATTTTTCATTCTCTAGCCCAAGCTTATATTAATTTGGCAAAAATCTTTGACCGCTTATTCAGGTACTATATTTCAATAGCTATCTAAATGTTACAACATCTATTCAAAAAAAAAGATGTTGTTCTTCTTTTTGTAATATTTCTCACATTTTTAACATCCCTCATTTTCACTTTTAACATCCCACATTTTTAAGATCCATTTTAACATCCATTTTTAGACATATGCAAATGTATAAAAAATTGTAATAATAATTTTTGTATTAGCAACGATACTTTTAATTTTTTAATCGAAGAATCTTACAATAAACAAAAAATTTCTTTATAAATAAATAGTTTTTTGAAATTTCCCAAAATTTCTAATCAGCAACCACCACACCAGTCCCCAACAACAACATCCAAGAACCTCCAACAACACCAACAAATAGTCAAACAAATAACCCGAATCATCAACACGCATCTCTTTTCAAGACAAGCCATATACATTTGAAGAAAGACCCCGCACGATTGTCCGAACCACTAGAACCAGTAATTCAACAAGCACATCTAAGCGAACCACAATACGAACGAGTTTATAATATATACCTCTCTCTCTCTCTAACAAGACCTTAACAGAGCAAGACACTTCAGCCAAAATCAAAATACGCTCGAAATAAGAGGACAAATTATAAATCCAAGACGATATAGAAATTTGGAAACCTTTAGAGTTCAATTCAACATACCTCAGTCACCAACAGAAAATCCCATAGACCTTTCCAGTAGTACAATTCAAAGTACTCCCACAATCGCATCACAAAAAAATACCTCAATAATCAAGCAACTTCTAAAAGAAGAACGACATCATCCATCATCCACTACAGTAGAACATTGAAAAACTAACACTCTCTAAACCTCGGGTGGGTGGAACTGTAATTTAGATTAAACAGATCTAAACTGTAATTTATCATTGGTTATGATTATGATATTTTATCTCTATAAAACATTGAAAACTAACCAATCATACTCCATCAACTAATAACTCACTTATTTGTAAGTGCTGAAACTACTTGTAGTTTCAGCACCAGAGCAATCTGAACCAAACATAGTAAACAGTTGCCTTCTCCAGAGAGACAGACTCGCAAAAACCAGTATACGGTATATCTATTGAGACTAGGAGATATAAAAGTAAGATTAAGATTGGTATTAGACTAAGAAGGCGCACGAATCTATCCGGCCGAAAATACGATAGCGTGACGAGCAGACGGTATACCTTATCTGAAATTGCTCTATGAGTATTACCAAATCGTCTTAACTCATATTTGAGAAACACTTAAGTTCGAGATGCACAAGTTTCAACGATTTGGAAGCAATTTTTATAGAAGCGGTTGAGCAAAAGGTTCTGATCAAATACTCTGACTGAGTTGTTACAAAACCTAGATGGGCAACAGTTTCACCAGCATAGGCAACTTTTCAAAAAATCAAAAAATCACTATAAAAACTCTATGTTTGCCAAAGATTCTGCGCCGCACGCAAAGTTTAAAAAAACAGGCAAAAAAGGCGTTTTTTTGCCACACCCTCAACCCCCAAAACTATTTTAGTTTGGTGCTAAAACTTTAGGGGGTCACTCCAAAAATGGATATCTCAAAGTAGTACAAAAGGGGAGACTTTGGGTCGGCAGGGGGTCAAATCCTTGAGCAAGGGGGTGTCCACCTCCACCTCCCCCCGTCTCTTCCTAAATCCGCTGGTATTCACCATATGTTTTTTTCTGAATAAAAAACAGAAAATCTATAAAAACTACTCGCGAAACGTTCTTGTCTAGTTTTTGATGGTGTACGTTTTCCTTATAAGTAGTACAAAAATTAATCTGACGATTAAAACAAACTGATCTGAAGATGAATTCAAAATTTTGACTTAAACAGGTTAAATTCTCTTCTTTCTGAAAGTTATCAAGTAATAATCAGTATGCAAAATCGATTGTACATAATAAATGTGGTCCTCACCGGATGCAGTTTTGTGCGGAAAAATGACGCAAGTTTGTATGCAGGCACATCGTTTGAATCAATTTGAAACTAATGTGAGTGTTGAGATGATCTGAGCTAGACACTGGTAATGAACAAGCAAAAACATTACCGTTAATTTCATGTGGAAGAAAACATTAATTTAAGCAGTACTGGTTGACCTGACCATTGTTCTTCTGCGTACTCGAGTGCAAAAATGGTCGAGTCATCAGTAGGACTTAATGGAATGATTCCTTTCTCTGAGGGTAATATGTTATGCACTTGTTGTAGTTGTGTCTCCTTACCAGCTTCCACATTCTTCAAGTCTGTCTCGAGGTCTACTTTGAACACAAGTGTCTTTTTGTTCTTAAAATCCCCCACCCATAGATATCCTTGGAGCTCTTCTCCAGATGGTGTCCAAACAAAGGAGTATACCCTATCCACTCCAGTGGCAATCAAATACTTCACATTCACTGTGCTGTTGGCGGAAGAGAAGGGTGAGGACGATGAAGCAGATGTTCGATTGTGATGTGAGTGTGGTGGCAATGAGACCACTGCCACTTTATTTGAACAAGTTCCACAACTGAGAAGGAGGGTGGTCTCATTGACCAACACACAACCAGGCCTCCGCACACCTCCGCTCACATAAATGCCCAGATGTGCCAGAGTGTGCTCTCTTATTCTCACACTATTCCTGTAAATGACCACACTGGTCCAACCTCTAGACATACCTAAAACACCCTCAACTGCCAATACAATTGTGTCTCTCTTTAATGCCAAGTGCCAATGATACCAATGCGCGTTATTGAGCAGTCCTCTTGTGTCTAACTCACTGTTGCTGCTCTCTCCCTTCTTCTTCAAACTCCACTGGTCCAACTCCTCCACTCTATTAAATCCTTCTTTCGCTACAACTCCATACATAGTGTTGTTTACTTCGTCCATACAAATGTCCCAAATGTCTTCTATTCTCGCGACCCCCTCCCACTCCATCGTCCTCTTCACTTCCAACTTGTCATTGGCCTCATTCACACCAAACACTCTAATTGCAGAACAAACTATATAATCAAGACACATCACTTCTCTTGTCTCCCAATTATATACCGCCCTAGAACATTCAAAAAGATCACCCATCTTCCCCATCATTTCCACTCCAATCAACACTCTCTTTTCCCTCTCCGCGTCCTTCTTTTCGTCCTTCTTTCCTACAGCCCCTCCCCCAGTTAACTCTTTTTCCGAACTGCAACTTCCCACTTTGTTCCGCCTAAGAGCTCCACTTGTTATACTACCGCCAACTGAGGCTCCACTACTACTACTACTACCCTCTGCCACCACCTGCCCTCTTACACCAACCGAAAAACTGGTTGAGCTCTCATCCTCACTTATCGTCACTGCATCACCAAAGATCCCTTCAAAAGAACGCTCAATTTCCTTGAATTGTTCAAGTATTTTACCCTTGAAGTTCTGAACATCGGCCATTTGGCATTTCAGTGAGTTTCGCACATCAATTGACATCTCTTCAATAGTACGCGCAGATCTATTTCTCAAGATGGACTCCTGCTTCCGCTCAACTGCTCCAATTTGAGTCACAACCACCGGCCACTCCTGTAACAGACTACTCAACCTCTCACACTCCTTCCTGTAGTCTGAGATTCGGGAGGGGACTTGCTGTTGTAACTTCAGATATACGTTCATGGTTGAGACTCCATGAGAATTCCAGTCTTCATGGTCTTCGTCCCAGCAAACTTCACAAATGGCACTAGAGCAGGGGTTGCAGTAGTATCGCACTGCCTTGTCAGGATGTTTCTCGCAGAAATTCACCGATGAAGTTTCCAGTCTTTCTGAAACACAAATTTGTAAAAACATATACCAGGATAAATAACAATACTTGTTTCGGAAAATAGAGAACGGCACATTTGGTCACGATTGCTTGCTTACGACTAATGTGATTCTTGTTGATCTAATTTTTTGGATAGTTTTTCTTAAACTCTTTTCACCCGAGAAAGTTGAGTTTTTTCTTTCAGTTTATTTTTCCATTCATTACGCATATAATTTTTACCCTTTTTCTAGTCTTTGGTTGTAACAACACAATGATGAATCACAAAAAAAACCTCCGCAAATGTTCAGTTTTCAAATGTCGAGATTACAAAGTTTTCAATGGCACGTCTGGTTTGATGGTTTTTACAAGAAAAAATAAAAATCCAATTGTTTCAAATCGAGCATTATTGCTTCAAATACTGCACAGTTTTTTTCTCATGACAGGAAAACTTTATTACGCGTTTGTTTTTGTATATTGCTGAAATAACAGCTATATTATTTATCGAGAAACATTGTGAACCAATCCAGACGCGCAGTTCAGTTTCGATATGTGAACAAATTTAGAGATGCATTATCAGCCGTTGCATATCTGGCACGAGACACTACTAAGACATCCAAATTTGAAAAAATTTCACAATAACACGTATTGTTCCGACTTTCGATACGAAAGTAACGGAATATTTGTGCTCGGGGTGGGCCAATTTTTAACTAGCCATTTTTGACGGAATTTTTTTCATATCATTCGAAAGGTATTGTTGTCTTGAGCTCAAATTTGAAAAAATTTTCACCTGTGATCATTTTTCGTAAAACTATGAGGGTTTAAAGGTTGCCAATTTGGGACAATTAACGCTCAATATATTTCGCGCTATTAATGCGTCAGCGCAGATTTAATCCGTCTTATAAATCGTTACAAGGAACGAAATATCTCTTTTTGTACTTTATATGGCGTGTGGGGGGATAATTTTCATAATAAGTTTCAAATTTTAGAAAAAAATTTTCAAATTATTTTTTTTCATTTAACTTTTTTATGTTATTGCTGCTGCCCCATAAACCTTAAAAGGCCGTCGGAACATTCAGGGCTTCGCTCTGATACGAGCAGTCTTGTTTTTTTTTAGATTTTGTTTTGTTTCGTTTTTCAAATAAAACACAAAAATATACTTCAAGTATGTGTTATATTTTTTATAAGGCGTGAAAGCATACAGCACTAATTGTTTTATATAGTAGAAAAACGCCAGCTAAATATTGCATCGAGTTTTTTTGTGACTAAAATCGACTTACGCAGTGCCCAGATGTGAGCAAATTTTGAGATTCAAAGAAAGCTGTTGTTTATCTGAGATAAGACATATCAGAAAAAAACGAACAGAATACGCAAATTTGAAAAGTTTTTCAAGCGGTTACATAGTTTGTATTTTCTATTTCATTTATTTGATTAATCAAATGATGCAAAAAAAGTGCAAACAAGTGGTTTAATTTCAAAAACAGCACAAAAACAAACTGAATAAAAAATTTTATTTGACCAAACATAAAAAAGATAAACTATCAGTAATAAACCTATATTTCTTTCTCTGAACAGCAAAAAAGAACAAGTATAACAAGACTACTCGTATCAGGACGAAGCCCTGAATGTTCCGACTGCCTTTTAAGCTTTTATGGAGCAGTAATAACTTTAAAAAATTAAATGTAAGAAAAAATAAAATGAAAAATGTTTTTTCTAAAATTTGAATTTTTTTTTGTGAAAATCATCCCCCCACAAGCCATACAAAGTATGAAAGGACAGATTTTGTTCCGTGTAACAAATCAATTATGGCAAATAAGCTTCTTTCAACCAATTTGGAACGATTTTAAGACGGATTAATTCTCCGCTCACGCGTTAATAGTGCGAAATATATATAGCGCGTTAATTGTCCCAAATTGGCCAAAATGACCACCTTTAAACCACCATAACTTTACTAAAAATGATCACAGGCAAAATATTTTTTCAAATTTGAGCTCAGGGTAACAATACCTTTCTAATGATATAAAAAAATTTCCGTCAAAAATGGCTAGTTAAAAAGTCGAAGTTTGTCTGAAGAAAAAAAAACCCACCCCGAGCACAAATATTCCGTTACTTTCGTATCGAAAGTCGGAACAAAAAGATTAAAAACTTCGCAGGTTATTTTTGCAACGTGAAAAAGTTTGAATTCGACGATGTATAGCAATGCATTTTGTAAAAAACTGATAATTTGTTTGCCGATTTAACGATAAAAATTTCTGTATAACATGAAAACTCTTCTATTTTGAATTCAAACAAAAATCTTAAATCCAGTGCTTGTAAAATATCAGTAACAATTAAGAAAATTGAAAAAAAAAGTGCCATTTAGGACGCACAATCATGAAACTAGCAGATTTTATGAAATTGAATTACAGAGGAAACGTTGAAAATTTAACTCCATTTTCCACAAAAATTTTCCTTTTTTCACAAAAGCAGGACGAAATTGGAAAAACCAAATGGTCGATATTACTCCTCATAAGCATATGTACATGCTTGCTAAGTCTCATTTCCGTACAGTTCACAATTCCAGGAGGAATTCGGTAACGCTTACACACAAATACGCACGCTCCCAACACGCTTCTTTTATGAGCTGTTTAGATGCCAAATATTCTATAGGAGGGCCAAACTTTTTTCTTTCACAGTTTCCAAAACCCCACTCTCTGGTCGTTATCACTTATTGGCTTATCTCGCTTTTATTAAAAAAAATAGAAACCCAATATTAAAACGTTAAGGGGAAACTGGAGAAAATAAATGTTGTATTTCATTATTGAGTTGACATTATAAAAAATCACCAACTGCTTAGATAATTGTGGTCCAGAAATCAATCAAAACAGTTGCGTACATTATTAAAAGTTTTTTTCCAAGTGTACTTGTTTTCAAAAGAAACAAAAAAAAACTTTTTTTAAAAATTGGAACCTAGAAGAGGAAATTTTGTCAAAAATTTGACTACATAGCTGTATATTAAAATGTTAAAAGTATATTTGGTTTTCGAACCAACAAGTGTCTGATCCTTCTTATCAATTTGTAGTCAGGTTCAAAATATTAGAGTCTGTTGATTTTTATCAAAGAAAGCGTTTTAATTTCAAAAAATATATATTTTAATGAACTAAGGCTAGGAACGTTTTCTAATTCCAAATTTTATTTGCGTTTTCGTTAACAACTTGTATATGGCAAACTTGTAGCAGGTTAGCAGCAATTGTACAAAACATGGAGTGATTTCGTGAACAAATCGAGACACACATTACTGAGAAGAGAACAAACTCCGAGAAAGGTTATAATTTGTTTCTTGCTTGGATTGAAAGGCTTATGGAAAACACGAACAAAGCACAAACACTAAAGACCAACCAAAGCTGAAGATACCTCTTCAGGAGTAATGAACATAGTGAAGTCTCTTTACAGGTCTTGCAGTTTTTTTTGTTTTTTTTTCATGAAAAAAAATCTTAAAATGTGCATCATCTTTAAAATTATTTAACATTTGATCATCAAGGTTTTCCTTGGATCAAAAAAAACTTACCCCCACCTTTTACAACTAGTGTTTAACGACCTCATACGTCGATTCGCTTTCCAACGCTGATATACGACCCAATATTAACTGAAGATTTTCCAAAAGCAAACAATTTTAATCTAGCTAAACAGAGAAGATCTTCGGTTACTCAACCTTCACTTGAGCCCTACCTCTTAACTGACCCAAGATTAGAAAAAATCTTAAAAATAGTAAGAATTGAAATAGTATCTATTGATCTACTCGTGTTCCAATTGTATCTGAACCTTGTGGTTTCATTCACTATTTTCTAACCATTGATCTCAAATCAATTTCAAACTTTTAAGTTTAAGTTTTACTTAGATGTAAACATTACACACTCGAAAGCAGTATAAAGTCATTCTTACGAAAAAATCTACTCTCTCCTCAACCCTTCTGTTCACGACAAAATACCCCAAAGATTAGACCAATCTCGCAAAAGAATTGTCAAAAATAACAGTTTAAGAAAAAAACTGACACAAGAGTTTGCACTAATCATTATACCTCTTATATCAAGAGAAAAATTGGGAAGCAAACATTCATAAACTCTCAAAAAATGTTTGACTAAGGGCCCAAAATACGATCGCGTACTTGCACCACACACCTTAAAAAGTAGGAAATATAAGACCAAAAAGCAAACAAAAGTGAATGCAAAAATTTCAAAAAGAAATGAAATAAAAAAACCAGAACAGGAAACTCTGTTTTGACTTTTTTCAAAATTTTCCACAACAGGAAACTCTGTTTTGGAATCTGACTCAACAACCATGCCAAAGCTCAAAAAACTTCGAGATCTACTAAACGACGAAAATCAACAGACAATCAAAGATATTTTTCCGAATCAGAAGCCACAACACTATCATGTAATAATGGCAAACGTTGAACTAAAATCTCATATTTTCGTAAGCTAGTAAAAATATATGATTGGAATCAGCCAATATGACATATTCATAGTTACACGTCAACCAAAAATCCGCAAGAAAAATGATTCAATACGATGAAAACTTTGACGATGACAAACTTCTTCCATTCTTCGATGACACAAAAAGCCATCCATCAAAAGAGAAAATACAATTTTGCCACAAACAAATTTTAAATTTAATTCTTTAAAGGAAAAAAAACCAAGTAATCAAGCCTTCTCAGAAGTTAAAATACAAATACAAGTACTATATCACTATCCACAAAAAATATAAATAATATAACCTCACACTACGGCATAATCACTTTTGAAATTCCACCACGACGGTGAAAACAATCACCACACCGAAAACAAACAGATGATAGAGAAATTTTTTCCAAAAATTTTACAGAACAAATCAAAAGTGTTTTTTATCAAAATTCACAAGAGCAAACTCAATTTTCACGAATGATGTTTTCTCCATCATTTATAGCTCTATATCATTATTAGAGGTTAAAGAAACATTTTATGTCTCTCCACCACAACTATCTCGACAGGAAGTAGTAAGACGAGAAGT